AGCGAAGCAGTGACCGGATGCACCAATGACACTGTTCTTCATCACGGCAATGTTTTCAGTGTGACCGGACACAGCAGCACTAGACGACCGGACGCACAAAGTATAGCGTCCGATCGAGTCCAGAGAGGTTCTAGAGTGGCGCTAGCGCGACCGAACGCGTCCGATCGAGTGAGACCGGACTCAGCCTAGAGTCTGATCAACGCACGCGCTCTAACGGTCGGGACGGCCGGATGCGTCTGGTCAGGACGACAGCAGCGTCCAGTCAATAGTAGAAAGCTGGGTTTCACCCCCAATGGCTACTTTCTCGGTGGGGCTTATAAATAGACCCCCCCAACCGTCCATTTGAGATGAGGAGAGTTGAGGAAGTATACCAAGGGTGTTGATACACTATTTTAGTGATCTCCACTTGCATAGTGCTTAGTGATTCATTAGGTAATTAGTGTAGGTGCTTTGTAAAGTGCTTAGATTGATTAGACCACCGCTTATGCGCTTGCTCTAGGTTTAGGCCTAGTGTTTAGTGAGGTTTGCACACCTCTTACCACTTGGTGCTTGCACACACCATTATTGTACATCGGAGGGGCTTGTAATCTTGTGAGATCACACCAATCACGTTTGTGGTGTGGCCGCCACCGTGTACCGAAGGGAACAAGGCCCGCGACGGTTCGACTGGAAGCTTGATAGTGAAGACGGCGGGGAGCGGTTTGGGAGAGGCTTGCCAAAAGGCACACTGGAGACCCACTTGCGCGTGGAGAAGGCCCAGGGCTATCCACGGAGTTACCCGACCGGAAGCTTGGCCCTTGTGAGGGATTCCTTGTGAGGGGCTCCAACAAGGACTAGGGGGGAAGCTTGTGTGCTTGTCGATACCTCGGTAAAAATACTGGAGTCATCGATGGGAGTTTGCATATCTCTACCTTACTCTTTAGCTTCCGCATTTACATTGTTTGCATAACTCCTTTTGCGGTAGAGATAGCAACACACTAGCAAAACCGTAGTTGCACATTTAGATGGTTTATCTTTTGCTTAGGTTTTGCTAAGGTTAAAAAAGAGGCCATAGTTTAGAGTTAGAGTTTTAAGTTGCCTAATTCACCCGCCGCCCCTCTTAGGCATCACGGTCCCCTACAAGGGCAAGGCCCCCTCCCAAGGAAGCGGCAACAACCTTTTTTTGAAGAATGCTAGTATCCAGACAAGCTCCACCAAAACAGAGACATCGGCGGAGAGAATGCTTCGGGAATAGCTTGTTGCTGAACAGGAAAATTCCGCTACCCTCGACGATCAAGTAGGCGAACTGAAGAGGAAGACAAAAAAGACTAAAAAGGAGTTTGAGGAATACAAGAAACGCCAACAAGAGGAGTACAACAATCTCCGTGAGCTATGCATGCACTTCAACTCTTCAGGTAACTCTCAGTCTTCAACTCCTGTGGCTTGATGCAGTGAACATTTGTGGTTTGATATGTGGACTCATGTGCCAGTTTGATGTGTGGACTCGTATGTTGGTTTGATATGGTGATACTCTGTCAGTGGTTTGCTACTGACGTGTGAAATATTAATTGTTGTTTAATTGCCAGGCTAATTAGTTATGTAGTCAATCTGTGCAGTAGTGACGATCTTGAATTACTTCTATGACGAATTGATTGTACTCCACGCGATAGAACTAGGATAAGCCATGTGATCAAATAAAAATGCGACACGTGAACGAACCAGTGCACGACACGTGAAATAGCCAGGACACGACACGTGGGCTATTAAAATACAACACGTGGAAGGAAGTCGTGAAGCCACTTGGTCGAATAAAAATACAAAACATGGACGAACAGTGCCGTGACTCATTGTCGAATAAGAAATGGCCATGTGGACGAATAAAAATACGACACATGGTTCAATGAAGAAGTAACACGTGATCCAACTACAATACGACACGTGTGCCAGTAGAAAAATGACATGTGGAACAACAGGGACCCGACACGTGATCCAGTAAGAATCTAAAACGTGCAAGAATCAGAGATAATAAGAAGATGACACGTACCCAAACCATCTCCAATGCAACCGGCTATAGCATTTACACGTGGGCTATAAAGCATATCCAACGGAAGCGCCCACCAGTGTGGCAGCCCCCTGCCACGCATGCCAAAACATTTCTATGACGGTTTATTTTTCATCACAGATCAAGACAATTCTATGATGATATTTTTGGATTCATCATGAATGTTCAAGTGTGACATGACTTCTATGATGAACCGTTTCATCATAAATTCGTCATAAAACTAAAATTATGACGAATTTAGCTCCTTCAGTGACAAAAATTGTTTGTCATAAAAGTGGATATTTCTAGTAGTGACTACTACGGTCTGCAGCTTTATGTCGGCCAAATGTGAGGCATGTTGCAAAGATTAACTAGCTTAAGTAAGAAGTGGAAACTCTAATGAACAAACCACGCACGAATCCTGAAGAACATCGTACGGGATTTGATAGGGAGGATACCTATACCCTGGGCTAACCAAACATTCGGCGGCCACGGACAGCCTCGGAGTTAGGTGGGCGGGCGGCGGCGGCGGCTCTCGTTGCAGTGGTGGGTGCTCGTGGCGGTGCTGCAGGTGCTCATCGTGCTCGTCGCACATAGGCGATGTGAGTTGATGCTCAAGGGCGCCTAGGGCAGCGGATCGGGAAGTTGGGAACAATGGCGAGCACGCGGCTGGAGAAACACGACAGATGGTGGAGGATGGGGCAGAGACCTCGTGCTGAAATAGAGACGTGGGAGTTCGTGGTTCCGCCGGCAACCGCATGACCACTCGCCTCCTCCACGTTCGATGCGGTGGCGTGGTGGCATCTTCAATTTTCGAAATGGCGGGCATGCGTGCCGTTCACACAAGGGACACTCAGTTCTACAGATGTGGCCATTGCTAATGCAGCAATCCATCTCAAATTTTTGAAAAATGCTACAACATTTGGTTGAACTTTCCAATGGCTATGGCTGAGCATTCAGCATTGTGATAGAGAAGCGAATCAAGTCGCGAACTGGCTCAGCAAGCTATTGTTTCTAGAGCTTTTTGTATTTGGGTTGATTCACCCCTTAGTTTCATTTTTCCGATTTTATCAAATGATGTAATGACGTTATCAGATGAATGAAAGCTTTGCCTGAAGGTATTTTCAAAAACAGAAATGCTATATTACACCCATGTATTTTTTTTGTTAGATCGGCACCCGATTTTCTGTTCGTCGGATCCACGGTGGGGACATGGTGGAGCCATCCGATTCGGCGACCCCCTTGCCCGCGGCTCCTTCCTCCCTCCCCTCCGGCGGTGGCAGCAGCGGGTTCCGGCAGATCTGTGCCGCCGGGCGGTGGCGGTTCAAGTGAGCCTCTCCCCCAAATTTTGTCATTGTCCTTCCATAGAAAAAAAAATCATTTTTATGATTTGTAACTTGTGATCTGTGATTTTTTATTTGTACCAAGGAAGAAGATGAACAGTACCAAAGGGCGGCGGGCTGCGACAGTTGGCTGAGGTAGAAAATGAACAGTGCTAGATGGCTGGAGCTAGAAGATGAACTGTGCCTGCATAAAAAACCGGGTCTTGGTTGGTGGCAAAAAAAAACCCAGATGTGGGGTAGACAGACTTCTTTAAGAAGAATAAAACTGTCATTTTACCATTTGCATGGTCTCCCGTCCTCTTAATCCCTTTTTACTATTTGAATGATCTTCACCCGTATCTCATTTTTATAACTTGGCAGGATAATTGAGGCACGACAAAAGGGGAAAAAAAGGCACGGTTTCACACCTTTCAACCCATAGAAATAAATTATGCTATGGGTATCAAAAACTTTGGCACCGGTAGAGACTTCCAGCCTGTTCGCTTGTTGATTTTAGTTAGGGCTTATCAGTCATGGTACAGTATTTTTCTTTCACAACAAATCAACATCAGCCGGACTTATCAGCCTAGAAACCAACCAACGAACAGGTTGTTCCTCTTATAATAGAGAAAAATGCATGTTCGTTTTACTAAAGGATTCGCAAAAGCAGCTTATAGATCATGGATAATAGAATAAGGTCTTGTTTAGTACAGCTCCACTTCATCATTAAAGCTATCTTTTTAAAACAATTTTACGAACAACTTTTCGGTGAAAGCTGAGCTGTTTTAAAAAAACTGTCTGATGAAATAGCTTTACCAACAACTTCATATCTAGCTGAGAAAGGGAAATAAAAGAAAGAAATATAAAAAAAAAACTATTTTTTCAGCTTCACCTCACTTTCTTTGTGAGAACATACAAAAGAACTTCACTCGTAAAGCTATTTTAAAATAGGATTCTTAGCAAAAACTACTCACAACAGCACATGAAGTTATTGATGGAGCTGTGCCAAACAATAACCGTCAAGGTCATGAAAACATATGCTTTTTGTGTGCTGTCTACATTTGGCAGAGCAGGAAAGGTGTAGGTCCAGCCTATATCAGACTAAAAGCGTGTTTGGTATAACTTCTTCTCTAGCTTCACAAAAACTGTTTTTTAGCATTTTTACCAAACATGTCCAAATGAAACAGCTTACTCTTAAAAGTTGTTTTTTTTTCTCTCTCACAACCTGAATGTAGAGTAATTGCCCATGTATACATGGGCAAATATAGCCTGGCCCAATTATTTTTACCTAAAAACTAGTCTGGGCCAAGAAGCGAGCCCAACGTATCCTGTGTGACGTTCAAAGCGAGGCCAGCGCAGCCTGTCGTTCTGCGGCAAGATTTTCCGGCCTGAAGAAATGAGCTTCTCTTGCTCGGGTCTATTGCTGCCTGGTCTTTTGGCCCTCATTGAGTAACCGACTCATCGCAACGAGATTTCAGCCCTGCGTAAACAGAGGCGACCGATGGTCGACGGCCAACTGATTTTCCGTGGGAACTGAAGGTCGATTCTCCAGATCTCCTGTCGACTAACGACTATGGTTCACGATGGTCAGAACGATGACAACATCTACATGCATATGCGCCGGTCCTCTGAAATGAAAGAAACAAAGGTACTAGAAATTACAAGCCACGCACCACATGCGAGAGCCTAGAGCTCTCAGTCCGCCTTCTTGGACACGTCCGACTTCGCCGCACCGACGACTGGTGTCCGCGCGCGTGCTTGTCCTCGGCCGTCTTGGCGCACACCTCGTCGCGCATGCGGAAGTACTTCTCGAAGGCGCGGGGCAGGAACCTCGGGATGAGGAAGACGAAGAGGTTGGCGGAGAAGTAGAGCAGGTTGGCGGCGGCGAGGTACCTGCCGAACCACATCCAGACGGCCTCCTGCGCGGTGGCGGCCCGCGTGAGGGCCCTGTTGGCCCACACGTCGTAGACCCAGTCGACGATGACGAAGACGCGGCGCACCGTGTAGAGCAGCGGCACCAGCGCCCTGACGGGCGGCGAGAAGGCGCCCAGCGACCCCACCACGTTCTCCGTCAGTATCTGGCACGACAGCAGGAACAGGTGCGGCGTCGCCGACCGCACCGCCGCGTCGTCGCCGCGCGCGAACCCGCCCAGCACGTGCGCCAGCGGCAGGAACAGACCCACCGTCGTGCCCAGCACCACGTACACCTGGAACAGCCTGCTCCAGGTTAGTTACTTTAGTAACAATAACAATCGAAGTAGCTAGAGCTAGCAGAAACCAAGCAATAATGATCCATGGAAATGGATGTGATGCTTACTTGCTGCCGCGGAAGATCTCCTGGGACGCGGCGGGCGAGCGGGCGGCGTCGAGCTTGGAGTGCAGCGGCGGGAGATGGCGAGGAGGTAGATCGTGGTGGCGACGGGGAACACGAGGTCGATGAGCGGGACGAGGCCCGACGCCGAGAACACCATGATGAAGGCCACCAGCTGGAGCTCGATGACGCGGAGCGAACCCATCACGCCGCCCAGCATCACCGTCGGCTGCCGCTCCGACCCGTGGTCCGGGTCGGACCTCGGCGCCACCGCCAGCGAGATCCCCGACATGCCGATATCGTCGACACGCGCGCAGGGGATCGATCGATTGGAAGGGAATGAGAGAGCCGATCGAGCTGTGCACATCCTGACGGTACGCAAGGACAGCAACAACCAGGAGAAGATCGGATGTAGCAAGCGAAGGGCAGGCGAGTGTCTGTGATTATCTACTCCCTGCGATCGAAGAAGCCGAGATGGTGTTTGGCTTCTTCGGGTTTGGGGGGCGTGGGCAGGCGCGTACGTGTCGGCGCATGCGGCGGGGCACATATGGCCGGCGAGGACACGTCGCTCATGCCTGGATGCTTCTGTAGACCGAAGAGTGGAATGGAAAACAGGACTCGAGGATGAGATGGCACTGCAGCTTTTGGGCTTTCGGCTGCATGAAACACCGGTTTCCGTTGGTCAGTATTTCTTGCCCAGAGAGAGATCATTATTTTTTTTAGATAACGTAATTCCGCCGGCTTCAACCTATAAGTAATATAATATAATATAAACACACTCAAAGTTTAAACTTTTATCCTAGTTTCATATTATTATAATTATAAACCCAGAGATCAATGGCTTGAGAACTACGTAGGAATGTAAGTGAGTTTGCCTATAAATCGTTAGATAAGTTTTGTTTTATGGATGCAGATTTTTAAACTTTATTAGGACCAGTTAGGTATCAGTCCCTCTGTTCTGAATCATAGGACATTTTAGCTTTTCTAGACATAGTGTATATTTAAGTGTATAGTAAAAGCTATATATAGAAAAAATTCAAAATGTCTTATAATTTGGAATGGATTGAGTAGTTCTCAGCAAGCTTCCAACCACTCCCACTCCTGCTCGAAATCTTAAGTGTTTGGTGGGGCTTCTCCTCAGCTCCATGACGTGTAGAGGATCTGATGGAGCGGTGTGACAAGGAAGGCCGTGGCGGAGGAGGGCATGGTGGTGGTGGTGGTGGTGGTGGTGGTGGAGAGGAGCAGCCCCACGGAGAAGAGCACTACATGGTGAAGGAGCGGGGAGGACGCAGCTAAAGTGGATAGGGCTGTGGGGAATGCAAGGGAGGACACTACTACACAAACTTTACTGGAGGCGGGCGTTTTCGGTTTTCCGCGGCGGGCAAAGCCGTCCGCCGTGGCCTAGAGGCCACGGTAAATCGTGGCTTAACCGCGGCGGGCGGCCTTGCCCGCCGCGGTAAACCGATTTACTGTGGCGGGCGGTGTAACGTGCCCGCCGCGGTAAATATACTTTTACCACGGCGGGCACGTTAGGATGCCCGCTGCGGTTAATCATTTTAAAAAAAACAAAAAAATACCAGGAGCCCGCCGGCGAGCCCGTTCTCGAGCCCACTAGCGAGCCCACCGGCGACGGATCCGGGCTTCCCACGGCTGCAGATCCGTGGACGCCGGGAGGGAAGAGAGCAGCCGGTACCGGGCCCCAGCGTCTCTGGAGAAGCCATTTGGACACGCCGACGCCACTGCAGGGCCGCCACCACCTCGCCAGTCGCTCGCAGGGGACCACGCCGACGCCTCCCCGCGGATCCCCGTGCCTCCTTGCGGATCCCGCCGTGCCATGGTGGAGGGAGGCCGCCGCACCGACGCGTCCTCGCCCGCAGTGGTGGAGGTCCTAGCGTCGTGGCCGTGGTGGATCCCGGCATCGTGGCCGTGGTGGAGGGAGGCCGCCGCGCCGACGCGTCCTCGCCCGCCGTGGTGGAGGTCCCGGCATCGTGGCCGTGGTGGATCCCGGCGTCGTGGCGTGGTGGAGGGAGGCCGCCGCGCTAAACCGTCCTCGCCCGCTGGATCCGGCCACCGCGCGCCGCCACCGACCGGATCCGCCTCGGGACGCCGTCACCGGCCGGATCCGGTCACCGCGCGCCGCCACCGGCCAGATCCGCCTCAGGACAGGCTCGTCGTTGCCGTCCCACGAGCCACCACGCTCAACGCCCCGCGCCCCGTGCTAGAGGATCGGAAGAGAGAGAGAGGAGGGAGAGGGAGGGATCAGTGGGAGAGAAGAGAGGGAGGGAGAGCGCCGTGCTGGTGGATATGCAGTGGAAGGAGATGGTGACGGGAGGAGATGGGAGGAGAGAGGCTCACGACAGGAGAGGAGTGACTGCGGCGCTATCGGTGGAGAGGAGTGAGTGAACTGAAACCCTAAACTCCTAAAGTGCACATTTTATATGGAGACCAGTTATTGGGCCTCGCCCTGAGCCTGTTGGGCCTCGGCCATTTACTGTGGCGGGCATTATAGGACGCCCGCCACGGAAAATCGATTTACCGTGGAGGGCATCTTAACACGTCCGCCACGGAAAATACATATTTTTCATGGCGGCTTAAGACGCTCGCTACGGTAAATCGATTTACCGTGACGGGCAAAATGCCCCCTCCACGGTAAATAAAAAATGCCCGCCGTGGTAAATCGTGGCATTTACCGCAGCGGGCGAAAATAGGTGACCGCCACGGAGTGCAAAAATGCAACGCTGCGCATAATCATTTGTGTAGTAGTGGGAGAGAGCCATGATAGAGGTGGAGAGAGAATAGAATGTCTCTGTGAAAGACAGAGAGAGGCGCAAATGAGATGAGAGAGCAAAGCAGAGTGCAGGGAACAGGTTTTTTCACGCTCCCCACTTGTAGTACAAATCACAAGGGGCATAGGAGCGATTTTCCTAAGTGGAGCAGCGATGAGCAGAGATGTTTGTGTTCATGTTACCTTCTCGCTCGGAGTGGAGCGGAGGGAGCACTTCCAAACAGACTTTTAGTTTCAAGGCATGATAGTACTTTAAAACCCAAAAAACACCTTTCAACTAGTTTTCCATCTTTATTTCATTTCCACAGAAATAACATTTTTCATCTGTTTAAAAGACCATAAAAATTGTATTTTTTTATTTTAACTGTGGCTTATAACTAGTAGGAGCAAGCAAAATTAAATATAAATAAATAGGAGCTATATGAGGAACTGTTTGACAGCATCATAATCTCTTTTACATGTAAAAATATTTGTACTTGTAGTTTCTATGCACAAGAATATCGTCCATTTCTTTTGGGTTGTTTTATAGAAACTTTTTGACTTCCAAGACCCTCACTCATGAAGTCATGGGTGGGTTGACTCCTCCAAAAAGGGATGAGCTTCTACCATAGTCTCAAGGTCGCAAAACTACTACATTTCTTGACCTCATCGAAGATTTCAGCACCGCCTTAGACGATGATGGCTCTATCAACCTCATGCTGGCCGTTGGCTTCCTGCGACATGGCTTTGATTAGGCAAATAACCATCATCAACTCATAATAACAGATAAAAAAGATTCAATTAGGTTATCATATTTTCAATCCAAGAATCAAAATATAGCAGATAATTGAAGAAATTTCAAATAATTTTCCAAGCTAGAGCTCCGACAAGTCAGATCAAACCATCAATTTCGAATAGCACAATGAAGAAAGTACTCTTTTTCAAAGAAGTTAAATGTGTTCTGACTCAAGCTTTGTTGGTGTTAAACCACTAACAACGATGAGGCAACTAAGGTATTGAGGTGAATTGGTTCATGCAGTGTAAAAAGAACGATGACGATGGATAAAGAGACCAACACAGGATGCTGATAGGATATCGTGAGGATAGGTCTCAAACACAACAATAAGCTGATAACTCACTTAAAGTTATAGTCTAGAGGGCCCAGTTTCCTTTTCTAATTGTACAATGACAAAACTAGTTGTAAATTTATTAAACAATCTGTTATTAATAATTTGTATACTTTTAAGAATATTTTATAATGGTATTATGCATTTTTTAGAATATAACGATATTTGTGCTTAAAACTGCCTCCCCAGAGAGAAAACGCAAACACAAACAGGCGACCGTAGCGCAGAGCACGGATGGCGCGACACGGACCGGTCCACCTTCTCCCCCACGACCATGCCCACGCACCCACACCCACGCCCCGCTGGAGAGTAAGAAGACAACGGCGGTGTTAGGTTTAGGGTTCTAGCGAGGTTAAGGTTCTATTCCCCGGCAACTCTAGAAGGGGGTTCAGGGGGAGGCGGCAGTGACACGGTAGTGGTGGCAGGAGAGACGGCATCGGGGCAGGGCGGCGGGAGAAGGTAGTTGGGCAAGGCTAGCGGCAGGGGCGTCAGGACGGAGCTCGTCAGCACCCCTAGGATTAGGGTGGGCGAGGTCGAGTGGTAGGGGCGGGGCGGGTTGAGGGTGGTGCTGCGAGGCGGCTCGCCGCTGGCCGCCAATGGTGGGGGCTAGGGCGAGGACGAACATAGAGCTCAGCGTTAGCTTCACTAAGTTTAGGGAGGACGGGTCGAGGGGCAAGGGAGGGAGGTGCGTGGCACGGTTAGGCGGCGGTAGCTGCCGGTCGCCGACGGTGGAGGGGGGGGGGGGGTTCATGGCGAGAGAGCCTCACGAGGGTCACGTGACGCAATAACCTTGTCCAACCGAAAAAGCCAAGCAACTTTGCCAGTCACAATCTCCGATTTTTTTTGTTTTTTAGCCCTTTTTTAAAAGTTTTTCACAAATATGCCCCTGGAGGTATGCTTTCAAAATCTGGACCCTTAGCTCGGCACCATCGTTGGTGGTGCCGAGCTTATACGTCTCGGCGCCATAGATTTTGGCGCCTAGGTCTTGGGCTCCACGCAGACGTGGCGGTGACTTGGCAGGCACCTTGGCGCTGTAGATCTTGGCACCGAGCTTGACGCCGTGGTTATTGGCTCTAAGTCCTGTCTTACGTATGGGCCCTTGCTTCCTTTCTCTCTTTTCTCTCTCTCTACTGCTCCCGAGCAGTAGCGCGCCAAGATCGTCAAGATCGCCACCGCCATGCTGCCTGCTGCCCCTAGCCCTTCATGCGCCCAGACCTCGCCGCGGGCCGGCCTTGGCAAATCTGTGCCCGCCGTCGTCGGCCGCCCACCGCCCACGCTGCCTCATTCGTCCCGGCTCGCCGCGTCCGCCGCGCGCATAGACGCTCCCTCCGGCGACCCCGGCTGCGACACGGCCCCTACTCCCAGCGCGCCGTGACCTCGTTGTCGATCCTGTCCTTCGCGTCCCCGTCCTGCTCTAGTCCTGGCGTCCGCGTCCATGTCGAATCGTTGCATTGACTTAGACAGGTAAAATTTTTGAATATGCAATGTAGGTACTTAGCTTGAATTATAGTGCTACTTTGATTATTTGGTAGTTTCAGGTAAATTTGATGATGTAGGTAGTTGATTTAGTTAGTAAGATAGATATAGTTAGATAAATATAGTTAGATAGCTAGTGACATAGGTACATAGATATAGTTATTAGATAACTAGTTGATTTAGTTAGTGCGATGAATATAGTTAGATAAATATATGGCCTATTCGCTTAAACTTATCGGCCGGCTTATCAGCTAGAATCTACAGTATTTTTCTCTCACAACAAAACAACTTCAGTTGGCTTTTCAGCCAGCTTTAATACCAGCTGAACAGATCAATAGTTAGACAGCTAGTGACATAGTTATTTAGGGTATAGTTAGTTCTACATCTATTCCTTGTCTTCAGGTTGATCTCAGTGTCGATCCACTGCTCAAAATCACAGTTGCCTTGGTTTGGTAGCTTTTCCACGCCTTGGCATCCTACGGTTGTATAATATAAATATTAAAATTGTATAAAACCATAAGTAATGACGATTCTTAAGTTGAAAAATCCGACTAATATATACCGAATCGATTTGAAAAAAAACTAGGAGGGAGCGAGGATACCTTACTCTCGAAGATCTACGGACCAAATCAAAGTTTTCAAGGTTCAATATGCCGATTCGTGAGGTAGGACGAAGTGGAGAGAGAAAAAACCCTAGAGGGAGAAGAAAGAAGAAGAAGAAGGCTTGGGCAGGAAGGTTGGACGCTGGGTTAAAAACACCACCACTGGCGCTGTTCTCGGCGCCATAGATCTTGGCGCTGTTCTCGGCGCCAATAACCACGGCGCCAAGCTCGACGCCAAGATCTACGGCGCCAAGGTGCATGCTAAGTCACCGCCACGTCTGCGTCGAGCCCAAGACCTAGGTGCCAAAATCTATGGCGCCGAGACGTGTAAGCTCGGCGCCACTAACGATGACGCCGAGCTAAGGGTCCAGATTTTGAAAGCATACCTCCGGGGGTATATCAGTGAAAAACTTTTTTAAAAAAAAGGGCTAAAAAAATATGGTCACAATCTCACGAAATAGATGTGACCCACCCCCTGTAACGGACTGACTTCCAGGTTGACGCAGCAGCCCTCAAGTACAGTAGACGCCAAGTCAGTCACACTCACACCACCACAGCAAACCACACACTCCCCTTTCCGATCCCATCCCTCTCCAGCCTCCGCCCTCCGCTCGCCGCGCTTCCGCTTCCTCCGCCACCACCGCCGGGATGGCCGCACGCTACCCCTACTTCGCCGTGGAGGAGTCCTCCCACGGCATCCGCTCAGGGGAGTCCCTGGCTGCGGCGCTCCGCCGGATCCTCGCGACGCCCGTGGCGCGCATCAGCGCCTGCCTGCTACTGACGCTTTCGGCCGGCGCGCGCTCGAAAGCAGGGGTTTCCGATAGGGTTCATGGGCGGTGCATGTGCTTCGTTGTTGGGTCACTCTCACGCGGGGTTTGTTATCCGTTATGCGTTCTTGTCTGTTTTTGTGTGCGATGTCGATCGTCGTAAAACGCTCTCGATGTGGTTTTAGTTTGTTTGTTTGAGAATGCCGAGATAATAATCGGTAGGCTTCACGATGTATAGTGTAACAACCCGGGTTTTTGGAGAAGCCAAAAATACGAACTTTTTAAAAATTTTCCTGCAATGAGTGAAACATGTAATTGCTAGGTCAAACATGAGTCCAACTCGCTAACAAGACGTTGCATACATGTAGATGGTTTGTAGGTGATTGCCGGAGTTTCCAAGTTGTCCTGTGTTTGATTCTTGATTATTGTTGGAGAGCACAACCCATAGCAACCTCCTTGTGATCCTCGCGGGATTACTTCGAGTGTTTTGTGAATCTCTCCGAATGATTCCTCGAACACCGCTTTATTTTTCACCTTGGAAATCCTTCTCAAGATGTGGTGAATTCTTCTCACCTTGGCCCAACCGAGCACCCCTCCCCTTGGCCCAACCGGCGCCAGCAGGCCCAGCTCGCCACTCCTCCCTTCGGCCCGCTCACCCCTTCCCTTGGCCCAACCAGCCACAGCAGTGAGCCCAGCCAGCCTAGCTAGCAGCGCAGCCTAGCTCGCCTTCCTTCGCCCGTAGTCCGCATGTCTGCAGCGTGCATAGCCCAAGAAGCCGAGGCTCAGCTGCATGCCACGTGTGCCTGAGAAGAAGCCGGCGCCCCACTCCAACCCTAGGAGCAAGACGCTCCCAGGCGCCGCCGCCGCTCGCACGCCAGCGCCCCCTGCTCTGCTCCTCGATTCGCGCCACGTGTACCTCCCCAGGCATAAACGCCGAGGATGGCTGGAGCCTCCTAGAAGCCCTAGTGCGCAGAGCTATAAAAGGCCGCCACAGCGCCACCCCTTTCTCCTCCCTTCCTCAGCCGCCGCAACCGGCCGCCCCTCTTCTTCTTCCTCCAAGCCGCCGCCGCATGCCACGGTCCCACCACTGCCGGCCACACGCTCGCCACGGCCGCTACCTCGAGCCCGTGTCCCCAACCACAGCAGCCGGCGCCCCTCCTGGATTCCCTATAGCCGTCGCTCTCCACCGAAGCCGCGCGCTGCTCCAAGCCTCGCCACCAGCGCGCCGCCCGAGCCAGCACCGAGGAGCGGTGTCGCCCACGCCGACCCTCCTCGCCGCGTCCATGCCCAACGTCGAGCTGGAGTCCGCAGCGCCTCACCACGCCGACCTCGCCACGACGTCGCCCACTGCGCTGCCGGAGTGACCGCCCGGAGCCATCTTCACCACGCTGCTTCGAATCATGCCACATCGGAGCCGCACGGACGTCGTCGAGCACGCCGCCACCGCGAGCACCACCTCACCCCTGCGTTGTCCTCTACGTCGTCCATGGCCGCGTCTCCACGGGCGCATCCGTGACAACCACCGCAGGCCAATCCCCGACCCTATCCTGGCCTTCGACGCCGGCTTGACCCTAGAGTTTCTCCGCTCTAGGACACACACGCGCACTCACATACATGGCCTAGCCAAGCCCACTAGACCACGGTGTCAGGAGGACACCGGATCTGCCACCACCTTGACCGCCCTTGTTGCCATGCCGAGCCACCACCGGGCGCCTTTGCGCGAGCTCGCCTCCGGCGAGCATGCTGCCGCAAGAGTAGCAAAGGAGGTAGGGAGAAGGAGTAGCAGCCGTCTGGACTTGTTCCACCATGAGCCAGGAGGGGAAAAGGAGGGTGGACACAGCCCACCATGGACCCAGTGTGCGGTCCATGGACCCACACCACCCAGACCACCGTGAGCCGCTCCCATGCCCACAGCCTAGACCCGGAGCCCGATAGGAGCCTAGACCGAGCCACGTGGACGTCCTCCCCACGCGACACGTGTCCGGGCCGGCCCAGCCTAAAATCCAGCCCTGTCCAGGCCTGCCAAGGCCCAGTCGAGACCCAAACCGGTTGACCATTGACCGGTCAACATTGCCCGTTGATCGGGACCCACATGTCAGCGACACAGAGCCGCTCGACCCACTTGTCAGTAGGTGCCATCATGCTGACGTCATAATGACGTCATGCGGGTTCCACCTGTCAGTGGCCCAAGATCCCCGGTCCCACCTGTCGGACTGATGACGTCGTGCTGACATCATGATGACGTCAGCGAAACCCCACCTGTCAGCCACTATTGTAGCTGGACCAATCCTGCGCTGCCATGTGTCAAGCCCTGGAGTAACCTTCCTTTTTCTTCTTTTTAAGAAAAGGAGTTAACCTTTGGAAATTCATAGAAAATTCTTACGACCTCAGAAAAATGTGAAACCAGTTCCCACATTTTTCTAAAATCAAGCCCTATGATGTGGACCAACCCTTAAGTACTTTTGACCCCTCAAAATTGAAGAACCCACTCTTTGCTTGCGCTCACACCGTTCGCGCAAGACATGTACGATGCCCCGGAATGCCACCATATGGTTCCAAGCACCCCTCGGCCATGATCTATGACCAAGCCATTGACTCGACGCTCTTAGCCATGCCGCGGCGAAGAGTTACCATGACCTCATCGTGAGCCTCGAAGCCGTAATTGGACCACATGGTATTGATCGCCGCATCATGGACTGCAGTTTTCCTTTCTTTGGTGCCCTGACGGTTCCGTGGAACCCTGTGTCCGTGTTTCACCACTGTTCTGGCTGCCTCGAGTTACGAGAACATGCCGTCGAGATCTACCGAGGCCACCGTTGTTGAGACCACCGTTGCTGAGACCGCTGTTTGAGACCGCTGTTGCCGAGACCACCGTTGCAGAGACCACCGTTGTCGAGACCACCGTTGCCGAGACCACCATTGTCGAGACCACATGGCCTCGCTGGCCGAGACCACCATGGCCTCGCTTACCGAGACCACCATGACCCCATCTACCGCAAGAAGTGTACCATCTAGACCATGAACCCTAGTCGTATGACTTATCGAGACCATGGAAAGCCCCATCTCGCATCTTTCTGTATACGCATATCTACCTCGTTGGGCCCTATTCTTACGACCTGTCTGTCCATGACTGTCTTACAAGATCTATCCATCACCCAGCTATGGAATGTGCTACTCCGCAGTCGTGTCGAGTTGTTGCGTCTTTCGGTCGTGTTTAGTTCTTATCGCTGCTTGTTGGTGTTGTTGCCTGTGTGCCGAGCCTTCGAGCTGGCTGAGGGATCGTACCTCGTTCGGACGTTACGATCGTAGGATCTGTCTCGCCATGACCGTGATGCCGAGTGTAACTCGACCCCTCGCTTTTTAGTTGACTTCATAGTACCACGAGTGTTAGCTCCTGTCTTTGGCCCTAGAACATGGTCATGATGGATTCGATGTCGATACTAACATCAATGCGGATATCACCCGCACGCTTTGAGCCCTCCATGACCAAGTCCTGTGGGAGATGACCTGGGAGAAAAACAATCGTGGAACGATGAATGCCAACTCATTGGCATAGCTTGTGGCCGCGAATTCCCCTCGCCATGACCATGGAGCTACGCCTCTCTTTAGCTTTTAGTTGCTTCTTCATGCTCAAGCCCTTGTATGCTTGTACCCCGTTTGACCATCACGTTTCTCTGATTCTCGCGGTGACAACCGCACCGCTTCGAATCTGAGAGATACCTCAATGCCAGTGCACCCAGGTCGGTTACCCTACAAGTGGTTTACGCACTTGGTGTTCTTGAGTGTTGCTCCTTCGGATGCCCCGTCTTTTGTTGTGGCACGTGTATTGGAAGAAGTAGACCTTGTCCCTTGTTGTTCTTGCTCTTGTTGCACCGATAGCCCGCTCTGTTCGATCCCGTCTTGCCCATAACGATTGGATCCAAGACCGGACTATTCCCTTTTGTTAGCGAAGCTATGGTCTATGTTGTACCTCGGACCCGTGCGTGTTGACCCGATCGACCGTCTAAAAACCATCTTCCCGAAGATGTCTGGGAACATAACATGGACATGCCTAGCTAACCCCGCTGCTTTTGCCGTGTTGAACGACTGTCTCCTCGGCTCCCGACGTTGATGTGTCGTGTGGATCGAGAAGACCCATCGCTGTCCAACCTCTTTGCGCTACCGCTTCCTACCATAGCGGGTGAACCAAAGTACATTGGAGCCAAGTCACAATAGTGTTATTCGTTCTTGTTTGCTACTTGTGTCCAATTGCGACTTGCAGGATAAGGTTACAAGAGCCGAACCCTGTCGTTCTTCTTTCTTGGGGCCCGATTTCCAATCCCCGTCAACCCAATGACACCGGATCAAAACATCGTGAGCCGTGGTGTTTGCTCTGGACAAGCTCTGGCTTAAACCATTTATCGTAAAGCCATACTGGCTTGGCCATGACTTAAGCTTGTGCTCAGCATACCACCACTCGTGTTTCCTTGGCCCGAGGAAATCGGACAACCGCCAAGAGGGCTAAGCCGTGTATCTCTTATTGTCTCGATGGCGTTATTGGATTTCCTGTGACTCATCGTCTTTTCAAGTGTTGAGTGCTCTCTTGCCTTGCATGTCGCTTTGCGGAGTAGCTGACGATCGGACCAAGAGAACGTGGACGACGACAAGGACTGCGGAATGGAGTCAACACAGGAGGAGGAGACCCCGCAAATGGAACGCCAACGAATGGAGAATTGTACCACTACTACCTCTACATCGCAGGTGTCATGGCAGCACCCTCTTTTAGAAAATCCTATTAGACATTGCATAAAATCTAGAACTGCAAGCGCTTTATAAATTATTCGTTTGCTAGTACTTTGATGCATACTACTACCTGAGCTATTATTACCCTAATGCAACCCACTCTACCACGTCACCCTGCTTTGCGCATTCGCTCACTTATATATGCTTACTTGCCTGCTTGCTTGCATATTACACCACTATACTTATTATTAACTCCACTTCGCATTATATCGAGGAAGTGATGCTGGTGGTGAACCCCCTAGGAATGGTTTGGCTATGGGTGCCAGATTGGTGGTGTGTGAGCGTGCTACGTCTGTCTTGGGTGCGTGGAGAGTGAGGGTTGTGTCGACCGAGCTGGAATAACGACGAGCCTGGGGCGAGTCTTGCCATGTGGTGCTACCTGGGCACTTGGATGTGGAATACCTGTGGCGGGTAAATGGTAATTGGAGGTGGCCTTGGGTGTGAACCTCGGAGAGGTAGAGCCCGGGGTAGAGGTGCTGTGGTGGCACGTAAAATGGAAACCGCGATGAAGACATTCTGGCTTGGTCACCCCTAAGGTCTTACTAGTACTCAGATTCATCGGGAATCCTTTACATCCCACTCGCCCTATATGGTGCGGGACGGTCAGACTACTTGGTAGAGTGATGCCACTACTGCTAGGCGAGACATCAGGAGGCCTTGTGGACCGGCTCTTGACATCCGGTGGGCCCCGGCTCTGTCTACGACTCACAGTATCAGCCATCCCAGACTAGACTTGGGATGTTCTAGGGCTGAGAGGTAGGGTGGCATCGTTCTAGGCTAGCAAGCGGCCGGAATCTGCCTAGACGGGGCACCGTCGAGGATGGCTATCTTGTGGGTATGTGAAACCTCTGCAGAGTGTATGGTTGATCGATCGATACATATGCCGACTCGTCGGCTATGGACCTTTCCTGGGTTTCGCTTAAACTTGATAGGAGATGAGTCCTTCTATTCTACCTCCAGGGTTTGGGGTATTTTTCGGCCGTGAAATAGGGGCTGCGGGCCGTTGAGACAAGTGCCGAGAGGGAGTCGGCCTGTCAACCTGAGTGTGTGAGATGAGATACGGTGTAGTGGTGTGGAGATGGTTTGGGATGGATGGTTGGAGGATGGATATGGATGGATGTGGATGTGTGTGGCTGGGAATGTGTTAAAAACTAGACATTATTATTACATTACTACTGTTACTTACTTCTCATGCGCTAAGGATGCAAATCACAGCCAAATGTTAGGATCGTCAGATCCTCTTGTTTTATCTTTTCCACTAAAGCTCATCGGTGCTGACCATGGCCTGCACACATCTGGCGGTGTGCAGATTTCCTGCTTCTCAGAGATGCTGACTATAGAAGGATTAGGAGGTCTCGTGTCTACGCTCAAGTTTGGTTCGGAGAAGGAATTTACGCTGCACTACGCCAATTCTGATGATGCCCGTGAAGGAGGAGCCTTCACTCAATAGTCTTACGCTAGATTAACTCTATAATAGGTGTGTTTTCTCAGTGATGTAATATCTTGTATTCTTGTAATCTTACGATGTATGATTGTGCTATCGACTAATATATGATAATATGATGGAATCAACTATTGGTTTCATCATATTATAATTTATTCTGTGGATTTTCCCTTCGCAGAAAATTGAGGATGTTTCATATAGTTCCAATCGGAGCAGATTTACTGAACCCCAATTCATATCGTGTGCTTTTCTACCGATGAAGTCACATAAACTGTAGGGAGGAACTATCCTTAAAATCTGTTGCTAAAACCAAGCAAACTCACAACTTTATCACCATGATTTAAAATTGAATTGTACTGCGTGCGTTATTGGAACTAAAAGTTCAACTTCAAGAGGAAGGGTATGATATTGACAATCATCCTGTCTTGGGCTAGAGATGTTCTGTGGTTATTTTTCTGACTACGTGCTGCAATGGTGTTTGAATGTTTCCGTGTGAAAAGGTAAAATGGTTTCATTAGAACTGTGGAATGTAGTTCAGGTGGCCAGCATTTCTTCGTGCAATGGAAATCGTTCTGTTGTTGCTTATAGGGCTTAGAAATAACCGCATTCAAGATTTTGCTTGCTGTGCTTGTCCAAAAGAAACCTTCTGGAGATATTCAAGTTATCTCATACATTGGAGTCTTCTTATCTTTTCAGGTTTCTGTGTTTCTGCCGCACGACTTGGCTTGCCTGATGTTGGCCTCGTTTCCTATGGAGAAATGATAGACCAAGGGCGTCTCATCAATGAAGCTGTTTCAATCCCAGTGATTGGTGATGGAGACAACGGTTATGGAAACTCTATGAATATCAAGAGAACCATAAAAGGGTATATCAATGCTGGTTTTGCTGGAATTATGCTTGAGGATCAGGTGTGTTGTCCAAGTCATTACAATTCATCCTTGCACAGATACCAGCTCCACTTGTGTTGACGATCACTGCTCATAGTTCTGACAAATAAGACATGTTACACTACAAGCGAATTCTACTTACGGTTAACCTTATGGGGTCTTGGTTAATTGGAATTAGTAGCCTTGTCTGCTTCTTCAACTAACAACAATTTCCTGAGTATTGTGCATACTTCCTGCAACCATGTTTCCATAAGTAATATGAATACCCTGCTGAAGACCTATTGGTGGCTAGGATTAGGACCCCTCCTTGAGGATATTATATTAAGGGTATATAACTAGCAGGTGCCATCCTTCAACTTGGAGAAAGGGTATTATCATATTAGTCACTGGACCCATTTTGTATATTATAGATCGCAGGCCAATAAAGATTGCCTATATGCCATGAAGATATGTTTTCTGTAGTGGCTAACAGATTTGGCATTTAATACCTATATATAACTGGTGTTACCAAGAACACTAGTAAGTATTTTTTATACGAAAAATAAATTTGGCCCTTTTTGGTGCTCATTCGAACTCCTTTGAGCTCATTTTAATATCTATTTCATATGTATATATTTCAAAATCTACTTTTTCTCACAAACAATCAACACTAGAAGGATATTCCACGCGTTGCTACGGGGATCGTGGATGATTTTGAATGAAGGGATAAACTATTATAAATAAATTTTAGTGGATGGTGTGTTATGCTGATATGGATAAATAAATGCATGTTAGTAGATGATGCTGCTTGCTGACATGAATAGCTTGTATGAATATATTTATGTCATAATTGCATGTGCTAGTGGGCTGCTGATGTGGATAGCTTGTATGGAGAGAGACATTTTTTTCTTTTCTGGAAGCTGTTTTTTCTTCCTTGCTGGGCTTGTGGCTACTTAGGAGTGGCCGACTTAGGTTCAATCATTGGTAAAATATTCTTTATTTATTTAATTATAAAGAAGGCATGCATGTTACTGTTGAAAGATGTTGGTGGTCTACTGGCTTTATGTAATTCAACTAAATCATCTTGATCTAGTACACAGTACAGTGATTGACATTGCTCTGTCATTATCCTATTTTAAAAATGTGAGCTCCCTTTAAATATAGTCTCACTGGATACCTTCCTAATGTTGCATTAGCCTAATTGAAAAATGCAACTGCTATGTATATGCTCAAATGTTCAATCTCTTGATAAGATTATCTTTGTTGTATTCTAAAAAATGTTGCAATTGAACTTTTACTGCATTGCACTTGGTGTAATCAAAATCTAGGAGAGTTAAAGCAGAGATCATATGGTTGCGACACAATCATTATCTATTTGACTCTTTAACTAACTAAAATAGATCATGTGGTCTTTGCCATATTTAGCTGACACTGTTTGCAATAATTTGTTTTTGGATAAATACTCCCTGCTTGCCCAACAAAAAAAGTAATGCAGTTAACTTGTTTTATTCTATGTTCGCAGGATGCAATAGTACGATGCTTGCTTATTTCTTTTTATATTTTCTTACTTACTTAGGTTATATGAAAATATGGAAAGAAGTCTTTCAGTTTCGTATTAATCTTTTTGTTTATCCTAAAAAAAATGACTTTCCACATTTTAAGGTGGCACCTAAAGCATGTGGACATACTGAAGGAAGGAAAGTTATATCAAGGGAGGAAGCTATCGTGCACATCAAAGCTGCTGTAGATGCTAGGAAGGAGAGTGGCTCTGACATTGTTATTGTAGCAAGGTCAGATGCTCGCCAAGCTATTTCTCTCGATGAAGCATTATGGAGGGTGAAAGCATTTGCTGATGCTGGAGCAGATGTTCTGTTTATTGATGCCCTTGCTTCAGTAGAAGAGATGAAAGCATTTTGTGTGGTTGCACCAGAAGTTCCAAAGATGGTTAGTTGTATTCTTTGTTTTTGTTGCTTTTCTAATTACACGGGAATTGTGATATCCAAGGGTTATGGTAGTTTCTGCATTCATCCAGATTGTAGTTCAGTATAACAGTCCTCATTTCCTGGTCATGTTGGTCATACCTTTAAATCCTTCTTCCAATGAAATTGACTAGGGTATCAAAAGGACACACGTACACCAAAAGACATTATTGTTCTCTAAATTAGAATTGATCACACTTTTCTTGTGGAAATTGTCTTACAGTTTCCTAGTGAAAATTTGTTTTTACCAGTCATCAAAGGAAGCACATGGAAAAAAATTGTGGACCAGTTATATCCACTTTTGCTGGTTCAGTTTTGGTAATTCCTTGTTAGATTCTAGATGCTTTTAGTATTCCTTGGAAACTATGCTAGGGTCAACGTATAGTATAATTTCTCCCTAGGTTATTTGTTTCTCTTCGATTTGAATATAGGATAGTAGTGATGAAATGGGGTGATGTGATTATGAACTGGTTTGTTACACAATTACCATTTTCTCATATTCCCCTAGGTTATCTATAATGTCACCATTTGGACTCAGCTTTAGTGCATATATGATTATGAACTAGTTTGCTTACACAATTAACATTTTCTCATATTCCCCCCATCTGAATTGGAAAGCATGCCAGTACAAATAAATTTTACTGCTCAATTTTGTTACCAATGGCAACGACTAGTCCATTTGCCTTTATTAACATTTGCTTCAAGTTGTTCCCTTCTCTAGCAGTGACATGACACATGAGTACATTTACACTCTGTTCAGGCAAACATGTTAGAAGGTGGTGGTAAAACACCCATATTGAGCCCTGCTGAACTTGAGGAAATTGGTTTCAGGCTTGTAGTCTATCCTTTATCCTTAGTTGGGGTATCAATGCGTGCCATGCAGGTTTGTTTTCTTACTTATTATGCGAAGCATGTGGCATTGTTCGTTTCTTTGTTTATCTATATTGATCAAAGCTGAGGTAATGAGTGTCAAACTGCTGATAGAGATCACTTGTATATTTATTCGGTTGAACACAAGCTCAAGGTAGTCCTAGTTCTTGTTGATCCTTTTGCTGCCTCCAGTTAGTTATTCCATACTGAACTACATTTCCTTGGTACATCTGAATTCTGATTTCTTATACTTTTAGCTGACTACACATTCTCTGTACCTAATCACCTATGACCAAAACACTTAGAGCACAAATCCCCTTCATTGTATTTATGTTCAATGAGAAAGTAAGCATGAGTGGAGAACCAAGGATAACAGCGGGGTTGGTGTTCGTGCTTGCCCTACTCATAGCCTTCCAATCCGTATATCTTGATTGGACGTGCCAACTTGGTATGCGTAGATGTGTCTCAACAATACTTTCACATAGTATAATTTGCTAGATTTGTGAACATATGACAACAAAAATTAGTGGTCAGAGTTATGTCTAGTGAGTAGTGAATCATGTTGACATCCTAAGCTATCATTTCTTATTTGTGACGTGGTGGGAGCACCTACCTTGAATCCTTGATACTAGCAACTAGCATTCTCGTCTACAGTAGGCATGGTGAATCTTTTGTATCACTCGGATAAAGGGGACTTAGTAGATGGCCTGGTCCTTCAGCAAGATGTCCCAGATCAACACCGATGGAAACTTTCCTCTTCTCGTTCCTACAGCAGCAAGTCGGCCTACCAAACTTTGTTCTTCGGGACTAAGTTTGCCCCATGGAAAAGAATTTGGAAAAGCTGGGCTCCTCTCAAATGCAAAATTTTCATTTGGTTAGTCATCGATAACTGGTGTTGGACAGTTGACTGTCCTGCCAAACGAGGGATGCCTCATCCGTAGCCCTGCCCCTTATGTGACCAGGTAGGAGAAACAATTCAGCATACCCTCATCTCCTGCTTGTTTACCTGGCAGGCCTGGAAAAGTTTTTTTTAGAAGCTTAACCTGTCTGCAGTAGCGCCACATATCTCTGCAACCAATTTCTCTCAGTGGTGAGCTGTGCACCTGTGCTGTTAGAGGTCTCCCTAAGGAGATGCACAAGGGCCTTAACTCTCTAATCATTCTAGTCAACTGGGAGATTTGGAAACATAGGAACACCATTGTCTTTGAAGGAGCCAGGCTAAACATTCAGACTCTCCGTCTCACAGTGGCTCATGGAAGCAGCTTGTGGTGTTTTGGTGGTGCCTCTGCTCTTCATGAGCTCCTCATTAGCTCTCTGGTCCCTGACCCTTGAGGGTGGTTAGAGGTGTGCTGGTTGTGGTCGTTTTTGTGTCCCTTAGCTTGGCGTGTCTACTTGTAGTCTCATGTGTGTGCGGTGTGCTTGGGAGGGGCTTTCATTAGCCTCTCCCATTTCTGTATGCAGTTTGTACTTATTTCCTTCTTGATGAAATGACACATAGCTCTCCTGTGTTTGAGAAAAAAAATTATTATTATTTTATCAGTTCTAAGTTCTAAGGCAATCATTTATGTTATTTTAGTTTTCCTCCTTCCTGAACTCACGAATAGACAAGCCGGCTTATCAGCTATAATCTACAGTATTTTTCTCTCACAGCAAATCAGCTTCAGCAGCTGAACAGGCTGCACAACTACTATTGACTAGCCTGGCCATTTTCAACAGGTGTTTCATTCTGATGATGTCAGAAGCATTACTTATTGTTCATAACACAAGAATCTCTGACATGCAGGATGCTCTTGTTGCGGTAAAAGACGGCGGTGTACCTCCACCTAGCATCTTGCCATCTTTTCAGGAGATCAAGGATACATTGGGTTTCAACCGCTATTATAAAGAAGAGAAACAATACCAAGTGGTGAGTTAGAATGCTTTTGTTCTTACTCTGTTAGTCCAGACGTGTTTAGATTCTGCCTACTGGGCCTCAGGAAGGACCATGGCTTCGTCCTGCATTTTCCGTAACACCGCCCCCCCCCTCTGCTGCTGCCCACTGTCCTAGCTTACCTGCAAAGCAGCCTCCTCTCTGCTCCCTCCTCCTGCCATCATGTCCCTTACTCCCCGAAATCAACCTGGGCCACAACTGGTAACCCACCACCCTAGGCAGTGATCCCTCTGCTGCCTCACCGTGCTCAACAGTGGAATCCATCAGGCCAGCCTACCACCGGCATCTCTTTAGCTTTGCAAACTCGCCCTCAACGCTGAATCCTAACCACACAGACATTGCCAGAGTTTGGATGGGCGCGGATGAGAATGTACCAAAACACAAAATTGGACGGTGGCGGAATCGGGTGCCAGTAAAGGCTAGAAGACTCGTATAAGCATTAGTTTTTCCGTATAGTTTCCTAAATCACATGTTTACCTTTGGTAGGACAAGTGAAGGAAGCAGCTGACGTCTGATCTTGTGGATTCAGCTGGATCGTTTCCATAGCTTAATTGCCACCGGACATGATGCAGAACCAATCTTATTAATGTTGAGTTGTAATCGAAGGCTGTGTAGCGCAGTATCCTGAAGAACACATATATACATGGTCTTCTCTGCTTCCGTTGCTGCTCTGCTGTGGTTTCAGTAATCCCGAACTTGTGATTCCAGTCTAATAATAAAACAGGACAGCTTGATGGGGCTTTCGTTATGCCAGAGCACTCTTTACCCTGTCACGGTACTAGGAACATTTTCTCCGGAAACCTTTAAGTTAAAAACCATTGTTATAAATACCAATAGCCATATCAGGTTAATGGAAACGCACGTGATCTGTATATACAACGGGCAATTGCTGAAACCATTTCCTTGGCATGCGCTTCCAGTTCTCCACTATTCCGTCTGTTCTAATTTGTAAGATGTTGCTTTTCTAGATACATAGTTGTTATAAAGATATTATATCTAGGTGGGTAATAAAAATTATGTTAAAAAAAGATAGGATGTCTTACAATTTGGAAATTTTGAACGGAGGGAGTACAATCTAACATTAGAACTCATCTCCTGGCATGGCTTTTTTCTAATACAATGTAACCTAGGTGTTGTTTACAACAATGCTTTGACAATTCACCGTAGTATACGCCAATCAGTTTGGCAGCTGATCTTTTTTTTCTATATGGTGAACACTTAAAAGAATGCAATGTCATTAGATTCGCCAAATCATCTTGAATTCAATCTTATATAAAGAAATATCAATATCTATGATACTAAATAATATTTTTATAGTATATCCAATTGGTGTCATAAATATTGATACTCTATTCTAATAATCCATAGAACTAGAACTGCATCCTTTTTCTAGATAGAGGTACTAATTTACAATCATCAAAAAAGATGAGCATTGTTATACATGTAGACATGTAGTGTATGCTTTAGTTTAAGGGAGAAATACCTCCATAAGGGCGTCCTAATGATTCCCAAACAACTAGTCTAGGAAGAATTTCATTGGCTATTAGGCTGTCCCTAATGGTTCCTAAATAGCTAGTCTAAGAAGAATTCTATTAGCTATCAGGAAGAGAGATCAAATAGCTAGCCCAAATAGTTAGTCTAGCACGATCTTTTAGAAATAACTCTCTCACAGCTCAAATAACCCCTCCACTATAGTGTTTTATTATTATTATTATTTCTAAGCCTAATCTAGCTAGCTATTTAAAACTTGTCATTGAGGACGCCTTTATAGAGAGAGATCAAATAGCTAGCGACTCCCAAATAGCTAGTCTAGCACGATCTTCCAGAAACACCTCTCTCACAGCTCACATAACTCTCCACTACGTGTTCATTTTTTATTATTTCTATGGCTCTTCTATCAGCAAATTGCCATTACGGACGCTGTAAGGTACCTTTTAGCCGGTGTAAGGAAAATGGACCCCTGGCCCATTTACTTTGGATTTTGATGTTTGATGACCAACACAACCAAATTAGACTAATGAATTTGCAAGTGTTTGTTTTGTAGTCCAATAGGGTGCAAGACGTGACTTGGACGAAGGCGACGTGATGATCCGATGATCAACACCTCAAGCAAGACCTTAGAAGCACAAGAAAAGACCCAAGATGTCAAGCAAAGTCCAAGCATGAAGATAGGAACCAAGCCGTGCGCAAGATCGCAAAGAAACGAGCTCAGAGAGGCGGCCGGACGCGGACCGGACGCCGAAAGCGCGACCGACGCTGGACCGGTGGCACGTCGACACAAGCGACGGACGCAAGGACCGGACGCTGGCGGCAACCGACCGGACGCAGAACGCAGCGTCCGATCGAAAGTCTGAAGAGGTTCCAGCGCTGAATCGCGGCCGGGCGCCGCGTCCGGTGGCGAAGCGACCGGACGCTTAGCGGCGTCCGATCGGTAGTTCACGGCAGCTAGCGGTCGGGACGACGGACGCGTCCGTCGTCAGGACGATTCAGCGTCCGATCGATGGCGTAATTGCGGGAGTTCGACCCCAACGGCTACTTTCTCTGGGGCTTATAAATACAACCCCCAACCGCCATTTGAGAAGTGTGGAGCCGAGAAACATATCAAAAGTGTTGATACACCATTTGAGTGATCTCCACATGCATAGTACTTAGTGTTTTATTAGGTGATTAGCATAAGTGCTGCGAAGTGCTTAGGTTGATTAGACCATCGCTTATGCGCTTGCTCTAGGTGTTTGCCTAGTGTTTAAGTGAGGTTTGCATACCTCTTGCCACCCGTGCTTGTGAGCACAAGTGTTGTACATTGGAGGGGCTTGAAGTCTTGCGAGATCACACCAACCGCGTTTGTAGGTGTGGTGGCCGCCACCGTGTACCGGAGGGAACAAGGCCCACGGCGTTGCTTCCGAAAGCTTGATAGTGAAGGCGGCGGGAGCATCCGGGAGAGGCTTGCCGGAAGGCACATCGGAGACCCACTTTGCGTGGGGAAGGCCCGAGGCTATCCACGGAGTTACCCGGCCGGGAGCTTGGCCCTTGCGAGGGATTCCTTGCGAGGGGCTCCAACGAGGACTAGGGGAAGCTTGCGCGCTTCTCGATACCTCGTAAAAAATACCGAGTCGTCGACGGGAGTTTGCATATCTCTACCTTGCTCTTTAAGCTTCCGCATTTACATTGATCATATTATTATCATTTGCGGTAGAGATAGCAACACACTAGCAAAACCGTAGTTGCACATCTAGATAGATTATCTTTTGCATAGGTTTTGCTAGAAGTAGAAAAAGATGCCATAGTTTAGAGTAAGTTTTTAAGTTGCCTAATTCACCCCCCCCTCTTAGGCGTCCACGTGTCCTTCAAGTGGTATCAGAGCCGGTTGGCTCATATTTGGACCTTTGGCTTAACCGCCGTTGAGCCGACGCTTGTAGAGTGGTTGGGATGGATACCGCTAGGCCTCCACAATTTGACGGCTCTAACTTCCCATACTATAAAGCTAGAATGGCTTGCCACCTTGAGGCGGTTGATTTGGGTGTATGGAGAGTCACTCGTGACGGGATGAAACCCATCAAGAATCCCGAAAAACCCACAAAGAGTGATGAAAAAGAAATGCATTTTAATGCTAGAGCTAAGAATTGCTTGTTTGAATCATTTAGCATAGATGTGTTTAACCAAGTGTTCACCTTAAATACGGCACATGAAATTTGGTTAAAACTTCAAGAGCTCCATGACGGTACAAGTAATGTCCGTGAGCAAAAACATTGTCTAGCTAAGCAAAATTATGATTCCTTTGCTATGAATGATGATGAGCTTGTTCGTGATATGTATTCTCGATTGAATCTAATTATCAATGAGCTCCATTCAATAGGATTATTAAAGCTAGATGATGCGGACATCGTGAGGAAGATCATCTCCGTTCTACCACAAAAGAAATATGCAAGCATCATCACCATCCTTCACAACATGGAGAACTTGAGCACCATGACCCCGGGCATTGTCATTGGCAAGCTAGTGGCATTTGAAATGTCACGTAAGATGGGTCAAGGAGAAGCATCCTCATCAAGCAAAGGCAAAGCTCTCGCTTGTAGCGAAAAAGAAAAAGATGAAGGGCAAGAAAGTTGAGTCAAGCTCAAGCTCAAGCTCCTCAAGTGAAGAAGAAGAAGATGAGGATGATGATGATGATGAACAAGAATCAAGTGATGATGATCAATCTTCCTCCTCCACCTCCGACCTTGATGAAGAATCAATCAAATTAATCAACAAGGTGGAGAAGATGATCCAAAGGCTCAATGTCAAGGGTGTGCCCATCCAAATTCAAGATCTCATTTTCACCAATCAAAGAAATGAGCAAAGAAAGAGAGGATGCTACTACGGATGCGGCGAGATGGGGCACTTTGTGGAAGTTTGTCCAAACAAGCCCACACCCAAGACAAAGAAGAAGGCGTGCAAAAACAAAGCCCTCACAACAATAAGGTCATGGGATGATTCTTCAAGTGAAGAAGAAAACCATCACAAAAGGCGAGGTCATAAGCACTCATCATCAAGCTCTTCTCGTGTGTGCCTTATGGCACGAGGTAACAAAAGCTCATCCTCTAGTGAGAGTGATAGTGATGATGACTTGCCTTCTTACAATACAATTGTGCAACAAAATCTTAAATATGCTAAAGTTTGCACTAGTCAACAAAAGAAGCTCAAAACTTTAAAAGAAGAGCTAGGTAGTTCACAAGAAGCATACAAGAATTTGCTTGAACAATATGAAAACTTTGCAAATCTCAATGTTGAACTATCTACTAAAATTGAGCAACTTGAGGCTAGTGCAACAACAAGTGCATGCACAATTAATGATAAGCAACTTGAAAAGAAAAATGAAAAATTAAAAGAAAAGTTAGCTAGCTCACAAAATGATTATCAAAGTTTGCTTGCTAAAATGGAAATCATGTGCAAACATTGTGATGAGCTAACAAATCAAGTTGCTAATCTTAAGGCAGTAAAAAATACCC